ATCTTATTCATAGCAAAGATCAGCTTCAAAGCATTACACCTCTCGAATCCCAAATGCATACCCCGTGCTATGCAGCGGCTTCTGGACGCAGACCTGTAAAACGACTGAGTGACCCCAAGTCCTTTTCTCTAAAGTCTAGGAAATCAGCTTGGATAGAAGTGAAGGACACCCAGATCAGCTCTGAGCAGAGAAAGAGTAAGATGGAGACAAGACATTAACCTGCCTGGAAGACCTACGCCCCCTCTTTCCCCAATGGGCTACTAAACAGAGGGGTGCAGCGACAGAAAAAGGACTCCCCCACATTCTGGCTGTGAGATCTCATGGGTATGTGCTTGACCCTTACCTCCAGCTGGTCAGCTATCTGCATTTCCAAGGTCATGAGCGTTTCTGACAGCTGAAGTATGTCCTCCTTGTACTCGGCTCGTGTAGACTCAGCAATATCGTAACTGCTGGCATTCTGAATCTCATCCAGCCTCTAAACACACAGACACATAAATTACTTATAGTTTGTGTTCAGCACTCCATTGCAATCTAATTAACTCGTTACATATGTGAGAAAAGTTCCTGCTGCTGATTAGCTGCAATGAAATGTGATGATTCAGGAAGTCTCCAGATTTACATAGTGGGCAGTCACCAGTGCTGAGGTGTGCTGCTGCGCTAGGGCAATGCAGCGAAATCGCGTTCCTCACCCTCCAGGCAGCAGCAGAATTTGCCCCTTCAGTGCTTCCAACTTTGCTTCCCTTTCTGACACATTTCATCAAGTAAAAAAAGAAATAAAAAATAAAAATCAGGTTATTGACATTGCTGGCCATGAAGAAGAGATTAACAATTACTTTGCAGAATGAAATGCGGGCCTAAATCCTGATCCCCTTCGTGTCAAGGAGAATCTTGATTGACTTCCGTAGGGTCAGGATTTAGTATTCTGCATATGGAATACCTATCGTTGCCTGCCTTCCTCTCACAGCAAGGATTTATTGCCCTTCAGAATTAAATACTGACGTCAGTTTTGTATCAGAAAATATTTCTTAATTTTTTTGGATCAAAACAAAAAAATCCTCCTGTGCTGAGCAATGCATTCTTTCCAAGTCTGCTCAAAGGAAGTTAACAATCACGCGTTAATAGGAGGAAAAAATAATACACAGGTTTTAAGATGTCTAATCCATGTCTCCTGAGAGGGAAAAGAATGAGCTAAAATACAGAATTCTGACGAAAACCACTGTGAAAACCAATCTAGTCTGAAAATGGATGAGATTACCCAAACTTTGCAGCGTTAAAAGGGAGGCAGAAGGGAGCAAGGTATCTTCTTTTCTAACATAAACAAGCTAGGAGGCTCCAAAAGCTCCCCAGCCATTCAAGCTGCGCCTCTGGGAGCAATAACTTCAAAGTTCAAGGCCTTTAATGCTGCTCTGCTCCTTCCCCAACTTCAGAGAGCAGAGTTATTTTACAGGTTAGCCAAGCTGGCATGAAAGGATTACAGCCAGACAAACAGCCCCCAAGAACGGCTCACAGATATCAGGCTGCTGGGACCTCTGCACCTCCTAAATTCCTCCACCAATTTTAAATGAATGGGGAAACGCTGTTAAAACACAGGGTTCAGTTTTGACACTGACTCCTCCAGTATTTATATGAAAACTGTTACACTGACCACTGTTTCTGCAGCTTAATCCTTAGCTGAGCCTGCAGGTCATCGGACAAAGATGAAGGCCCAAAATCTGGCTTTGACCATGTTTCTTTGGGTTTAATTTTGGTTTTTTGTTTATTTTTGTAGATTTTTTTAGGTATTTTTTTAAAAATGGAAGTTCTATTGGGCATTCAAGTGCAAGTGAAGTGAATCAGAGAATCCCAGAATGTGAGGAGTTGGAAGGGACCTGGAAAGCTCCCCCAGTGCAACCCCTGCCAGAGCAGGATCACCAGAGCAGTCACACAGGAACACGGCCAGGGCTTTGGGTGTCTCCACACAAGGAGACTCCACAACCTCTCTGGGCAGCCTGGGCCATGCTCCATAACCCTCACACTGACAAAGTTTGGCCTCATCTTCAGCTTGAACCTCCTGTGCTCCAGCTTGGGACCATTGCCCCTTGTCCTGGCATTGGCCATCCCAGAGCAGAGCCTGGCTCCTTCCTCCTGACACTGCCCTTTCCCAATGGATCCCCAGGAACAAGGGCACCCCTCAGTCTCCTCTGCTCCAAGCTCCAGAGCCCCAGCTCCCTCAGCCGCTCCTCAGCAGGAGATGCTCCACTCCCTCCATCACTTGGTGGCCCTGCTGGACTCTTTCAAGCAGTTCCTGTCCTTCTGGAGCTGAGGGCCCAGCACTGGACACAAGATTGCAGCTGTGGTGTGAGCAGGGCAGAGCAGAGGGGCAGGAGAACCTCTCTGCCCTACAACCACCCCTTCTCATCCAGCCCAGGATGGCGTTGGCCTTCCTGGCCACAAGGGCACATTGCTGGCTCAAATATGGATCTCAGTCTTTCTATGCTGCCTGCCAGTAGGGCTGCAAACTCGTGTCGGGGCTGTTTGCCAGCATGAATCAGCAAGGTTGAAGGACCTGGGTGCAGCATGACTCAGCAGCCTGCCAGCGTGTGACAGGGCACCTAAATAGAAGCGTCCTGGTTTTCAAAGGGAGCCAGCGCTCGTGACTCTGCCCGGTGTCCGTTGTTAGGGGCTGGCTCTGCTCAGCTGATGGTGTTACCAGGCTTTAGCCTCCCTCCCCTTATTTTTTCTGTGGAAACAAAATAATGATCCGTCTATTATACATGGTCAGAAAGGGATCCAGCTAGAAGCTACGCCCTAACAGCCACAATAGGCGGCTGCATTTAAGCAGAATGAAAAAAAAAGATAGTTTCTGCTTTAAAAAGACTAGAAATACATTGCAATGACTTCATTTAATCTTTTTGTTAAAGTTTTTCAATCTGTTGTTGACAAAATGAACTGAAGCAGAAAATTACCAGAAAACAAACTGAATATCCTGCAATCTCCTTCCTTTTCTTCCCCATTTTTCAATGAAGGAAGAGCTATTGGAGCCCTCAAAGGGAAGGGAAGTGGCAGTAAATCTGATCAATCTATACATTTTAAATCAACTTCATGAAAAAGATTTCAACTAAAAGAAAGGGTGAACATTTCCATTTTCTTAAAGACTAGTAACTTTTCTGGATGGAAAAATTGTTATCGGTATAGATTTATATTGTAAGAAATCAGTAAAGTGGTTGAGCAGTGGAAGAGGTTGCCCAGAGGCTGTGGAGTCTCCATCCTTGGAGATGTTCAAGGTCCATGTGGACGTGGTCCCAGCAGGTTCCTGTGGGTGGCCCTGCTTGAGCAGGGGGTTGGACCAGGTGACTTCTAGAGGTCCCTTCCAACCCTCCACCACTCTGTGATTCTACCATCAGGGATCAAGCACCAATTCCTATTACAACCGTGCAAATCCAGAAGCATTACCCTCATTCTCAGTGAAATTAGAAGCTGGCATAGGATGTAGTGAAATCACGTATCATACAAACAAAAGTATAACGATATTACCATTTTGTTCCGGTCTTCAAAGTCTAGGATTATTTTCCTCCCTTCTTCCTGGTTGGCTGTTAATGCTTCACAAAGGCTTTCATAGAAAACGGAGACTTCAGCTTCTCGTTTTTCACGCTCAGTTAAACAGGTTCTCGCAAACTGAGACAAACTCCTTTCTGTACGTGACACCAGAGTCAAGGAATTTGGCTTGTTCAGTGGAGCAATGTGCTATGTTCCTTCTGCCTCTGCAAACGTGAGCAACGAGAGCTACAAGCTACTGGGATGGAAAGTCCGTGGTCCCTGCTGGGAGCGGGCTGTGGCAGGCCTGGGTCACCCACTCACATTTAATACAGAGGATTTTGCTACCTTAAGTGTATGGAGAAAGCTCTGTCAACTTGAGGGGAAAAAAGGCCTTGAGGAATAAAAGAAAAGGAAATACATCCACTTCTCTGACTCGTTTATGACACAGAAGCGGAGCAAAGCATGCAACCCTATCTGTCTTCACAAGTATGAATACAGTGCCTGCATAGGTAATAAATACAGCTCCAGAGCCTACAGCCAGAGCACAAAATAAACTACTAACTTGGTAGCATCGCAAAAATAACGTCAATTTTTCTTCTGCTATTATCTTGGCAATGGAATTGTTTCTAGAGCCTATTGTAGTTAAGCCGTGATGCATTTTTTTCCCAACAGTGTAATGCAATTTTAAGGAAGGTCAAGTTACTGGCCTTGACAATGCTCTATTAATCTGAATGAGAAAAGAATAAAGGGAAAAAAAAGTGTTTGCTTTCTGATCCCTTGGTATAGGAGCAACGATCAGAAAAAAAAAGCGCTGGCCTGAAAACTTCACGTTGCCGGCTCTGAGAGACACGACTCCTGTCATTCTGATTAGTCTGTTCCTATCTCCTACCACTTCAATTTCAACATGATTTTAGCGGCTGCGCTCTTACAATCTAACTGACAGGGATTTATCTTATAGCTCATTTTAAACTTTAAGTGGATTTCAGACTTAAAGGAAACACAAAGCCTCGATTCTCGAAGGGTCAGGAAAGAAGGCTACCGAAACGGCGTTTGATCCAAACGAAGGAAAAGGAGTATGGTAATTACAATGGGGAGAATTGGAAATGCTGGAATCTCATGACCTGTTGATGTTAGAAACGAGCGCTTTTACAAATGGGATGTTTCAAGCTGGGTTGGCCAGCTTGCCAGTAATATAAACCATTTGTTTGTAGCTCTCCTATTTCACAAGATATCAAGCCTTAAAGCTGTCAGTGGTCTCCTGGTCTTACAGTGGTTTTTTTGGTACCATTCCAAAATGGAACACAGACTGTCTCAGATCTGAGATCAATGTAGCTTTCAGCCCTGGACAAAAGCAACGGATGAAGAGTCCCTGTGGATGCACCTCCTTCTTAACTCGAGGCATTACGTTTTCGCTGTAGGTATTTTAACCCAGGAAGGATATTCCTGCAGCAGGTCACCCACTTCGGGGAGGTGCGCCAGTTTGGCAGTTTCTTTATCCTCTACATACAGACTGTCAAACAGGAGTGGTCCATTCAGGTGCTCAACAAAGGCTGCCTTTGAAGAGAATCAGAGAAATATAAGTAAAATAAAGAGTGCCAACCTGCTGCTGCTCCTTAGGATGTGTCTCTCCTGTAAGCACGTTACCAGCAGAGGCACACTGGTGCGGACACAGGGGTACCAACACAATAGATACACCAACCAAGGCATGAAAGCACCTTGCAACTGGGGTGAAGACCACCCTGGTTCACACATGGTTTTGCTGCTAGAACGGTCTAGCCTAAGGATAGAAAACACCATTTAATCTAATATAAAACATTATCACGTACAGCCACATACTGCAAGGCTGTTAAACCTTTCAGATACGGAGCCAGTGGAGTTTGGGAGGGACAGAGAGAAGAGCTGCAGGTGTCCTTCCTGTCACTTAACCACCTTCTGCTTTTCAGCCAGTCGGATCCTCTAGAGATCTGCAATACAGAGCCAGACTGTAACTGCAAGCACCGTTCTGCCTGGTCTTGTTTTCAGTCTGTTCACAGGACTACAGGGATCTCTGAAAGCCCTGAAGAGTTTAACCATAAAACTAATGAAAACCATTAACTTAGTGTGAAGGAGAAAAAAAGTCACCACATAACGAAAACCCTATCAGTCCCCTCAGACCTGTAATTTTCTTAATCTCACGTCAGGCTGATAAGATCCTCGGGTATGATTTACTATGTAACTCCACAGGGTCTGTATCTGTAGTTTAATTGTTCAGCCAAAATAATTATGCTCCCCCCACATCATGTGTATTCCACAGCAGCTCCTGTTTTCACCCGAAAAATGAGATGTGGAGATCACAGAGATTAGTCCTAGCTTTAGTTTTAGCACCGTCGATGTTAACCTCTCATTAAATCTTCAGGCAGGTAAAAGAGAAGTCAATATCTGTTGTGCTTCTTTCTCCTGAGACAATATACGACCAGCTGAAGAAAACATACCCTGTGGTACTCCAGCTCCTTCTGCTTTGCCTGCTCTTCCTTCAGCTGAGCCAGGGCCTGGGCCTCCTCTTCATCCAACGGCTCAGTAAGATACTGATACTTTAAAGCTGCAGCTTCTCTCTGAGAAATACAAAGAAAGAAAAGATTTTTATTCGATTATCCAGCATTGCTCAAGAAACCTGGGCATAAGCATTCGATCTTTCTAGAACACACACCTGAGTAACAACTGCATCTCCATTTCTTTGTGGGCTTTTTATTAAACTATTTGTGAAGTTTCTAATCCATTCCTCATCACATCTTTTTGTTGACATATTACTCTGACCCTGCATTTAAGGCATCTGAGCTGGTTCTGTCCCAGGAGATTTTTCTCTGCCCATTTCCTCATCTTTAGGGTTGGTTTTTTCCCCTTTTTAAAGCAGGGGGCCTTGTTTTGACTTCCAGAATTTGAGCTCTGATTTGATCAGCTAGTGAGTTTAATACATTTATTCAGGAGGAGAAGGCTCTTTGGAGGAGTGGATGGCAAGGGACAAGAACCTAATTAGCTTGAAACTGAAGCTTGACAAATTTAAGTACGCAATTCTGTGACATACTGTCTGTATGAGCAGGGACAGGACTCAGTGACCTGGAAAGCCCTTCCAGTCCTATGGGAAGAGTAATATATATTCCAAGTACAGCTCCTGCTTTGTGCCAGGTGAATTTACCATTACTCTTGTTCTTTGGTTACTTAAAAAAATCCCCCCAAAACAATAAAAAATAAACCACAGAAGTCCCCTCTGTGAGCAGCAGGACCACCGAGCCTCCGTTCCCCTGGATCTGTGTCTCAAGACAGATCTTCTCTGAGATTTTCTGGTCTCTAAGAAGGCTTGCACTCACACTGCAGCCTCTCAGAGGCAACATTCACCAGGCCCCTCTCCCACACACAGCTGCTGATTTTCACAAAATCTGTGAAGACATCATGCCTCCGACACCTCTACCTCTCTGTCACATTTGATAGAATTTGGCCTGCAGGTTCACAGCTGTTAGGTGGAGGCAGAATAAACACTGCGTGTTTCTGTAAGCCTGATTTCTGCAGGGAACCAGCCCCAAATGCTGGAATATTGCTGGCATACCAACAAAGCAAATGCTCTGTAAGATGTTGGTGCCCAATTTCACGAGCAGGGAATGCAGAAATGCTTACCATGGTGTCACTCACGAGCTTGAAGTCCAAGTACACCAAATTTGGAAGATAAGCAATAACAAACAGCATATACTGCTCATCGTCGCAGAGAGGGTTCCCCGTGAGATTCAGCGTGCGTAGGCTTTTAAATCTCCTGAGATAGATCACCTATGCCGAGGGGAAAGAGATGCTGTACTTCCCAGTGCTGGGGAAACAAACAGCCTTGAAATGCATTGCTTTTATTACAGTTCTGTTGCAGTACATATCCTGCTCTGCTGCCAACACAGGCGACGTTAAATTATGAGTTTCTAATGCTTTCAGGAAAGGAAATACTTAAATTCACATTGTGAATAAATAAAGGATGGGTGTACAGAGAAGGCAGATGGGGTGGACAAATCACAGGTCTTAGATTGGTAAACTGCCCTCAAAAGAACCCCAAATAAATCCTAGTCTCCACTCCCTCCTTTTCTCATATGTAGCTACTTAATCTTTTTCCGGCTTTCATGGGAACCAATAGGAATTTTGCCATAATTGATAGCAGTAACAGAAGTGGGCCCCCGTGAGTCAATAATCTAAAAGAGAAATAGCTGCGGTAAGCACGTAACACTGGGGCTGTTTACCAAAACCATAACTTAGACTACAGAGGCAGTGAAATCCTAAGGAGGATTTTCTCAAGGAGGGGCTCGGATAAGTGGCAAATGTCAGTTTGAGAATATTTGAACCTTTGATAGGGAATGCTTGTGAAGAGAGGGGGCACTCACATCTTTCAGAGTGGTCAGGTTATTCCTCCCTATGGAGAAAATCTGCAGTTCTTGCAACGTGTCCATGTGCTCAATTTTAGATATTCTGTTGTTGTAGAGGCTGAGGTCCTGCAGTTTGACAAGGGCATCCAGGCCCTCAATTACTTCAATATTGTTGAAGGACAAATCTGGGGAGGAGTTTAGAAATCAAGAGTTGTACGAACAGAAGTTACATTATTTCTAGCAGAATGCCCTGATTCAGACCTTGCATTTAGCCTGGATCTTGATTTAGGAATTTATATACAGTATTTTCCTCAGGGATGTTCGGCGTCCCACAGGGAAGGCTCAGAATTAATCACATCTCCTTCTTGCAACTGTCCACGCAACTTAAGAGAGGAACAGCTGAAGGCATTCCACACCGAGTCACAGAATCGCACAGAATCACAGAATCGCTCGGTTGGAAAAGCCCTCTGAGATCATCACGTCCAACCGTTCCTGTCTACCCCCTAAACCATATCCTTAAGTCCCTCGTCTACCCGCTCTTTAAACACATCCAGGGATGGTGACTCCACCACCTCCCTGGGCAGCCTGTGCCAGCTTCTGACGACCCTCTCAGTAAAGAACTTCCTCCTTATCTCTGACCTGAACCTCCCTTGGCACAGCTTGGTGCCGTTTCCCCTTGTTCTATCCCCCATCACCTGGGAGAAGAGACCAGCACCCACCTCTCTCCAAGCTCCCTTGAGGCAGTTGTAGGTGGTGATGAGGTCTCCCCTCAGCCTTCTCTTCTCCAGGCTAAACAAGCCCAGTTCCCTCAGCCGCTCCTCATCAGGCTTGTTCTCCAGAGCCCTCCCCATCCTTGTGGCTCTTCTCTGAACACGCTCCAGAATCTCAACATCCTTCTTCTAGTGAGGGGCCCACAACTGAACACAGCACTCGAGGTGCGGCCTCACCAGTGCCAAGTACAGGGGGATGATCACCTCCCTGGACCTGCTGGTCACACTGTTTTTCAAGATGTGCTTACGAACCAAAGCCCTGAATGCTGTTTTCACTGGTGGCTGAGAAAATATTTACCCTGCCAGCCAGCAACGTAGCTGCAGTTCCCACAGAGTGCTCTAAGCTATGAATCTGTAGCAGCAAGCTCACCAATCTGCCTGGCATCAAAACCTGCACCACTGTGGGATGCTGCTATCAGTACCCCAAATTTTTAGTTGAAAGTAGTCACATAAGACTATTTATGGGGGTACTCCTTGGAACAACAATGACAGTAAGCTTTTAAGCGAATAGGGGTAAAGATAGTGGGTTCTAGGCTCTGAAATGCTTGCATTAGCTTTGAAAACAGAACATGGGCTTCTAAATCACAGAGGTGCTTAAAAAAAGTGTCTGAAAGGCACCTCCAAATAGGAGTACAAATCCTGGAAACAACCTTGAAATCTCAGCTTCCTGTTCCTGCCACGGCAAATGTATTAAACGCAGTTTTGAAACATTTGAAGGATTGTTTTGCAGCTCTGATACTCAGGCATTTTGACATTTGACAGTCAAATGAGGAAACACACAGACAGCTGACAGCCTTCCTAGGGAAAGCTCCTACCAGTCGTGTTTGAGAAGGAATGTGACATCCTGGCTTTATCACAGACTGCTCTGCTCCTGGTGAAGGTTTCCAAACTCCTATGCCTGTGTCTTACCCAGCCATACGAGGTGGACCAGGCTATCCAGAGCTTCTATCTTCTCAATGATGTTGTTGTCCAGCTGCAGTTTAGTCAGATTCTCAAACTGCCACAGATTATCAATGTGCAGGATATCTAAAGCCACAGGGGGGGGGAAATAAAACAAAATTGCTTTTCATGTGAGACAGCTTTCAGTTTAGTGGACACGCTATCTTGCACAAGGAAAACATGTCCAGTCTTACCTCCAGAATGATTTTCAGCAGGTTACGGTAGCGTGTGATGACTGCCCTAGAGAGCTGAGAGCTCCACTGCCTGGACCAGATTTCAAGGAAACAGCCCAGTTAAGCTCAGCGTCCTGCACCAGCGCACACTGCTCATCAGCGATGCCAACGCGTCGCTGAGGGGATGCTGACTGCAGCCCTGCGGGCAGGAGTGGCTTTACAAATCCGCTGCTAGGAGGCCTTGACCTTCATTTTCCTTTCCAGCTCCCAAGAGGGAGGTTTGGGATGAGACTCTGCTTTTCTCTGCATTTGCAGGCCAGCGGTGGCCAGGTACTGCTTTTGTAAGTGACTGTCCTGCTCCTGGGATTCTCATCACAGGAGAGCAAGTTGGGATCTGCTCTTTCTGTGGAGGCTGCAGTTTAGAACTAATCAATATCTCTGCATTTAGCTTCCTCCAAAACCAGAATCACAAGGGCAGGTCATTAGGCACTACAGCAAAAACATTAAGACCAAGGAGACAGAAAATGCAGAACAACCTCGCTCCCAATTCTCTTCGCCCCTCGATGACTTCCCAGAAGATTTTGTTAGCGGCTCTGCTGCTGTTTTTGTCGTTCAGTGAGCGCAGAGTAAAGCAAGGAATTGCACGAACAAGACACTCACACAGCTCTTTATTTTGTATTTGCAAACAAACACACACAGGATCAGGTAAGAGGGAGTCTGATCTAAGGAACTCAACCAACACACACATTATTTTACTGCAGCACCCAACGAATAATCAGAAAGCAGATTTTTGCCCATGAAATTTCAAACCCCCCCAGAATACTCCAACATCGAGCCAAATGTTCTTTCTTTTCATTTTTTTCGAATGCAAGTTCATGGCTGCTCTGACAGAAAGAGGCAAGCTGTGATAATGCTACAGATGACCGGAGGAAGCCACCAAATTGGGCTGTAATCACCATAATCTACCAAATAGCCCTCACATAATCGCCAGCGATGGCGGAGCCTGCCCAGGGTTTTTGTCCGTGTACAGAGGGGCCCAAAAGGCCTGTGGCCTGTAGGTGTCACCACAATATAAATGTTAAATAAGAACAGCGGTGACAATGGTGGCAGAGTCGAGCAGCTTTAAAGTTACCCGTCAGCAAAAACACCCAGCTCTCTCTCTAATGAAACTGCTTCAAACAAGCATCACTAAAACTGTAAGGCCAGATGTTATTTTTCACATGACAAATGCACGCTAATAACGATTGTTTAATTGCCAGTCAGCCACTTCATGCTTAATTCTATTACCCAATAATGAAAGAAGAGGGGGGAAAAAAAAGGTGTATATTCTGGTACTCACTTCTAAAACTAAGCCGTAGCTCTGTCACATCCTTAAAGTTAATACCTTCCCTTTTGGCAAGGTTCCATATGTCCTCTGGACACTGCTCTTCAATGGCTTTCTGAACCATTTCATCGTCAATAATGTTTGGCTCAATGCTATCGTATAACTGACTCATTTTTAGACGGTATCAGCCTTAAGGGAGAGAAAAGAAAAAGAAATAAAGTCACTGCCTGGCTGCTGTTTCCACCATTCATTGAACGGGCGTCATGATGCCAAGGAGCTGAGAGCACAGCTGAGCATTAAGAAGATCTAACACCTCACAGCTGATATCAAACAGATTTTAATCATAAAGTCACTGATGCGACTCTAAGCACAGCCTTGCAGCCCGAGCACTGTAAAATGGCCAGGCACGGTCACACGCAAACTTTACACCACATCTGAGAGTTTTCCCCCAAAAATGCCAGAATTTGGGCAGATAAATAGACCTGGAGAGGAGGCCTTGTGTGGCACCTATGAACAGCAGTGGTTCATCACATGGCAGTCACCTGGTGCTGAAACCCATCGTCATGAAGGGGCTCTGTTCAAGGCTTTGTGCACCATTGAAATCAGTTTTAAAAGGTGAGTTTCTCATTATAGGCAGGTTTGATTTGTAGG